TTCAAGGCTTCCGATTTTTGGAGGATAATTTTAACGTTTTAGAAAATCCCATAGTGCTTCAGCTCATGTAGCAAAGAGGGCAATGAGGTCAGGGGATTAGTATTAAAGAACAAGAGGTCATCCTCATAGGCTGCCACTTTGTGTTGCAATGCACCCGCCTGTACTCCACTAATGTTTGGGTTGGAGTTGATGTGACGAAGGAAAGGCTGAAGAGTGAGGACAAATAGTAGGAGTGATAGAGGGCAGCCCTGTCTGGTGCCAAATGAGATTGAGAAAGGGTCGGCGTCTAGGCCATTCACTCGGACAATGGCAGTGGGGATAGTGTATAATGCTGAGACCCATTGCAGAATGGGTGTTGCCATCCAGACAGAGCAGAGTGTCTCCTGAAGAAACCTCCAGTCTACTTGATCAAATGCCTTTTCAGCGTCAATTAACAAGAGTAGTAGAGGGACACAGGATCTCTTGGCTTTCTCAATGACATTCAGAGAACGGATAGTGTTGGCTCTGGATTCTCTTGTCTGTATAAAACCCACCTAGTCAGGTGTATTAGAGCGTTCAAGCACATGGCCAAGATTTTTGTAAAGTGTTTAATGTCGCTGTTCAAAAGGGAAATAGGTCCATAACTGGAGCACAACAAGTGGGTCTTTATCAGGTTTTGGGATCACAGCAATAGAAGCTCGTAACATGTCCTGTGGAATAGCATGTCCCTCTAGTATAGCGTTGAAGGAGGGCAGTAAATGAGGTGCCAAGTAGTCCTGGTATGTTTTATAGCAAATCTGGGGGAATCTGTTGGGCCTGGGAGCTTTCCCTGGTTGGGTAGAAGCAATGGCTGTGGCAAATTCCTCCGTCGTAACAGGTTGAGAAAGTGTCTCCTTTTTCTTTTGGGGTGAGGGTAGGGAGATTAGCTTCCCATAGGTATTACTGAATGGGTTCAAGGGAAGGGCAGGTCGAGGTAGAGGGTGAGGCCCCGGATATATGTTGTAGAGTTTGAGATAAAAGTCATGAAAAGCCTTTGTCGGATCTGAAGAGACGTGGAGTTTGGCACCAGCTGAATCAAGCAGGGCCGGAACATAAGACCGATTTGCGTTTGTCCTGTAACACATTAGCCAGTAACACTTGTCGCCATACTGGTAGAACGTGCAACAGGTACTGAGCAAGACCTGTTTCGCATTATGTAAAGAATATTCCCTGATTATTTACCTTATCCAAACTAATTCAGCCTCGGAGGCACGGTCTGGTTTGTCTTTGTGACACCGTTCCAGGGCATGACGCTTTGCTAATAGGTCAGATAGTCTTGGCACGGTGCTGTGTGCAGGCATGTCCAAGGTTTATGAGAATTCTTCTGTAGAATTTGTGGGCAGCCCACACAGAGAGGGTTGGTCACAGAGTCTGCGTTGGAGGCAAAGTAAGAGGTGAGTTCTCTGTGGACCTCCTTAACAAAACTCTTAAGGACCCTGAAATTGCTAAGTCGCCATGTGGATGACCGAGGGGCCATGACAGACGGGGCTAGTTCTAAGGAGACTGGTGCGTGATCAGAATCTGCAATCTGGCCAATGTCTGTCTTGGAGATCATGGGAATCGTCCGGTGTTGCATCAGGGAAAAGTAAATCCTGTAATATGAGCCATGTACATAAGAAAAAAATGTGTAATCACGCTCTTGAGGGAGCATAATCCTCCAAATATCGACCAGTTGGTAGGTATGCAGAAGGTCCCGGAGGCAAAGTCGTTCTCTCTGGGGCATCAAGGACGAGCCGAGGAGTCCCTATGAGGGTCTAAAGGAGAGATTAAAATCCCCCCCCAAGACAAGGGTGCCTTCGAGAAAGAAGTCGAAGGCGCTAAAAAAGATTCCAGTACCAATATTGGTTCGTATTAGGAAGGTAGATGTTCACGAGGGTGAATGTTTGAGAATTAAGCGTCCCTTTCAGGAGCAGGAACCTGCCCTCTGGATCTCGTTGCTCATCAAGGAACTGCCAGGAAAGGGGTTTTTGCTATAAGAATGCTTGTTCCTTTGGATTTAGAGGTTGAGGATGGGCAATGGTTAGCCGATGGTAAATGTTTATTGGTAAGTTTTGGGACCTGGTCAACTCGAAAGTGGGTCTCTTGGTGAAAGGCTACATGCACTCTACATCTCCAGAGTTCAGTAAGACAGCTGTTACGCTTCTTGGGAATTTAACCCCTTAACATTCCAGGAAAGGAATTGTAGGCCATTGTGGCAAAGGGAGAGTAGCTGGGGTCGCCAGCTCCCCATATTAGGGAGGGAAAATGAGTGGGTGGGGGCAGGAGAGTGTAGGGGGGAAGAGTGGAAAAAAGGGGGGGGCCTTTTAGAGATAGAGAAGAGGGAAGTAAAAGAGAGAACTGTCTACAGAGAAAGGTTCCTTTAAGGGAAAGCTACTGCCACCAGGGCAGAGTGTCCCTAGGGTGGGAGGTGGAAGGGCACAAACAAGTAAAGAGTCCTGACCATTGGGACTTCCCTTTTAACCGCAATAACCAAGATCTGGTGATCCAGCATAATAGATCTTTTCTACTCCAGTCCCCCCCCCCCCCCCCCAAAAAAAAAAAAAAAAAAAAAGAGTGAAGAATAAAAAAGAAAAAAAAATAACAATGTAACTGAGTACATGTACATCTACTGGTACACATACAATTGAACTCAAACGTGATCAAGCACTCATAAGGTCGCCCAGCTGGATGGACAGAAACAGACCCACTTTGACAAACACATGTCGTAGGTAAGTATAGTATAGCGCCTCTACTAGCGCATCTCTCTCTCTCTCCCCCTCCTCCCTCCCCCCCTCCCTCCCTCCTCTCCCTCTCCCCCCCCCCTCTCCCTCCCTCCCTCCCTCTCCCTCTCTCTCTCTCTCTCTCTCTCTCTCTCTAATGAAAAAAGTGAGCGCTGATCCTAGAAAGCAGCTAAGCACTCTAAGTAACCAATAAATACTTATACAGAATAATATAAATAAAAGTGCAGCGCTAAGTAGTAAATCTGAAAATTGTCCACTGTAAGTCCAGTTCATATAAACGTGCCAGGTGACAAATGGAAATCCACAATGGTGATCCGTGAGAAAGTAGCAGAAATGCGCACTCACCAGAAGGCGGATATATATAAGCAGTATATATCAAAAGCTCATGGATCCTCGGTCAAGAAGAAACAGGTCTGGTCACTGTGGATTGGCCTTTCCTTTCCTCAAGGGTGCAGAGCAAAATTCTTCCTCCTCTTAGGTGGATGCTTGAATTCCTAATAAGGACTCTGCAAAGAGGTACTCCTCCAAGGGAGTCAGGAAAGGACGCCCATAGTGTAGTATGTTTAAAATAAATAAACATTATTAAAGACAGTGATACCAGATTCAAACAGCAAGTGTCATCCAGATGTGATAACACTAACCCTAACAGCTAGAACGATGGCCGCCGGGCCTCACGTGGCTCCAGCGGCGTAGCGTCTCGACTGCCAGGCTCCTCCTTACGCGTTACGTGCGCACGTGCATCTTCAGAGGTATAGAACCCCTACCTCTGAAGATGTGCATGGGCACGTAACGTGTAAGGAGGAGCCTGTAAATACCTGGTTGGTCAGTTCTTTTGTTTACTCACTTCCTACTAGTTGGCGGCAACACGATTCTCTGGCTGTACCGCTGCTACCCTCCCTGCACGTACTCCGCCAGTCTACTTGGAGTTAGCTGTTCCTCTTTTTTTCCTCTGCAAGCCGCCTCACTTGACTAGGGGCACCTTCAGCACTTTGGGATGTCATCTCCTCTCTAAGGTCTGGTACACACCTATGCATTTTTCAGTGCTTATTCAGTTTTGCACAAACGTGCTATGGATTCCTATGGGTCATGTGCACGGTGTGTTTTTTTCACTGGTGCGTTTTTTTTTTTTTTGGAATAGGTCAGGGACCATTTTTACCGCAGCAGGTTGCGTTTTTGGTTCCATAGACTTCAATGGAAGCGCATCAGAAATGCTTTAAAAACGCAGTGCTTGCATTTTTGGTGCATTTTTGCTTTGTTTTTATATTTCAATGTTTTCATTAATTTATAAACAATTTAAGAAGACAGGAGCAACAAAACACGCCCACGCAGTTTTTACTTTGTTTTTTATGTTTTTCACCGTAAGACAACAGAAATTTCTCAAAAAACGCATTCAAAATGTGTGTCTTGGGGGGGATGCAAAACGTTCCAGAAAGTTGCATCAACTGCAACCTGGTGTGAACCAGGCCTAATTGATCACAGCATCCTCTAGTCGGGCGGGTCTAGCAAGGATGGTTGCAGGAAGAGTGAAATATAGGCTTTCACGGTACACAAAAACTCCACCTCCAGCATTTACTTAACATCAGACATTGAATGAAATTTAGTGGAAAGGTTATTTTTTAGACTTCAAAAGAATTTTTTTTTATTTTTATATTATATTTGATCTTTTCCAGAACGTATTTGGATCACTTTTTGCATTTCATTTCATTGTAGGAAACTGGTATGATCCTATATTTTGTTCGTACGCTAAGGTTTAATAACACTTTAAGCTGCAATTCTGTGCAACTGAAAAAATGCAGTTTAGTGTGACAATCCTATGCTATATAGCAGGCTGTGTGTGCCTGGAATGAGTTAATGCTGTAAAGCATCGATCATCAGAATGTGAAGATCATTGGCTGTAATGCCACAGGGAGCAGATGCTAGAGCCAGTGATGCAACTTGTATTTACCTCCTATAGCCCCTCTAGTGACAGCTAGTGATGACAAACAAAAGTAGCCACCTCCCTTTTTTTTTCTGCTGGGTATGAGCTTATTCCCCTAAGATTTTAGACTGTAAGTCATTTATCAGCAGCACTTGTCACCTTCAAAGCACACTTAGAATCCTTGCTTGAAGCTACAGCTAGATACAGGGAATACCAAAGCAACTTTCCTTTATTTTTTTTCTGTATCCTTTCAGGAGAGATTAGAGGCTATGATGCGTCGGTCCCAAGAACGCAGCCAGCAGCTGGAACAAAAGCAGAAAAGATGGTCCTGGGGTGGTGCCCTGGTAGCTGGATCTGGAAAAGATGGTGAGTGCTTCCAACCTGCATTGCAGTTCTTTAAATGTCATTTCACTTGCAAAAGCATACAGCTATATAGTTTGTGTTGAGGTGACCTCTTTTCTGTAGTGGACTAGTTATTATTGTTGGCTGATATATTCCTCTATTTCATACTGAAAAGTAGACTCGCACAACATACAGACTTGTTTCACTACTGTTCTGTGCTGACTAGTACTTTCTGTATGTTTGCAGTCCTTGTAAGACTAGTCATCAAGGAGTGAAACCCTTACAGCAGAGTCATTGATTCTCCGTTAGCAGGAGTGCCCTGCAGTTGAAGGGTTAAACTCTTGTGACTCTGCAAAAAAAGCTAGAGGTGATGTAATGGAATCGCAGTTCTTGATCCTTTTGATGTGAACCGTGTTATTCTATGATTACTATTTACATAATTTTAATTATATATATTTTCTAGGCTACTCTTTTCAGCCTCCTTTTTTGCACTACTTTTTAAAAGCTGGGGGTGCATTTTGTTAATGTTGGGCTTTGTATTTATCATCTTTTATTACATTTATAAGCTTTTAGTTGCATATAGCATAATGTATTTGTGTTTTAATGCAAAATCACATATTCTATCCCATTCTTATCTCGCTCTGGTTTTGTACTGTGCAGGTGACTCAGAAACCCCCCCACCCCCTGTGCTAGGTTTAACTAGCAACACCCCTGACATAGAGCCTGTGACCTCTGCTGCCGCTGATGAGTCTTCCAATGGTATTTTATGAGAACCCCAGAACCATTGTGTGTCTAAGTGTTTGATCACATCAACTTCATCAGCCCAGCTGTCTACCCTAAACAATGTATAGCCTAGTGTTCACACAAAGTGTACTATGTGCCACATTGTACATTACTGATTCAAATGAATCCAGAACATCATGCATGACATTGCTGTCCTGTGATGCATCTCATATCATGCTGGCCATCACCAACATGTGCTTATGTTTCCACTGCTTATGAAAAAAATCATTGGAAACATGGCTTGTGACATTGGTTATTTCATAGTTTTGACTTCACACATTTGGCTGTAGTATCTACAGTATTTATTATTGTTATGTATCAGAAATTGAAATTGTTAAAATTGACCACTAGACATCTTCTAAATTAAGATCATCTTTTGTGAAAGTGTGTTTAAACCTAGTCAGGATATTTTAATATTTTATCTCCTGAAATAGGCCCACCTCTGCAGCAGGTGCTGTCCATGTATATACATTCATGACACCTTACAGATGTACCTCCTGGAACATAAACCTTAATGTAACATGTTATAACAGCCATTCTCAATCAGGTTTCCTCCAGAGCTTGCTAGGGGTTTTGTTGAGCTGATTCACCTCCCATCTGATGGTGCTTTGTACCTATCTGTCAAGGGGGGAACTCTTCCCACTGGCCATTACTGTAAGGAAGGCATACTTCCCACTGGCCACACCACTGTAAGGAAGGCATTCTTCTCACTGGCCACACCACTGTAAGGAAGGCATTCTTCCCACTGACCACACCACTGTAAGGAAGGCATTTTTCCCACTGGCCACCACTGTAAGGAAGGCATTCTTCTCACTGGCCACACCACTGTAAGGAAGGCATTCTTCCCACTAGCCACACCACTGTAAGGAAGGCATTCTTCCCACTAGCCACACCAGTGTAAGGAAGGCATTCTTTCCACTGGCCACACCAGTGTAAGGAAGGCATTCTTCCCACTGGCCACACCACTGTAAGGACGTCATTCTTCCCACTGGCCACACCACTGTAAGGAAGTCATTCTTCCCACTGGCCACACCACTGTAAGGAAGTCATTCTTCCCACTAGCCACACCACTGTAAGGAAGGCATTCTTCCCACTGGCCAAACCACTGTAAGGAAGGCATTCTTCCCACTGGCCACACCACTGTAAGGAAGGAGGTATCCTTTCCACTGGCCACACCACTGTAAGGAAGGAGGTATCCTTTCCACTGGCCACACCACTGTAAGGAAGGAGGTATCCTTTCCACTGGCCACACCACTGTAAGGAAGGAGGTATTCTTTCCACTGGCCACACCACTGTAAGGAAGGAGGTATTCTTTGCACTGGCCCCCACTGTAAGGAAGGTATTCTTCCCACTGGCCCCCACTGTAAGGAAGGTATTCTTCCCACTGGCCCCCACTGTATGGAAGGTATTCTTCCCACTGGCCCCCACTGTATGGAAGGAATTCTTCCCACTGGCCACAACTGTGAGGGGGGGGGGGGCATTCTTCCTACTGGCCACCACTGTAAGGGGGGGGGGGGGGCATTCTTCCTACTGGTCACCACTGTAAGGGGGGGCATTCTTCCCTCTGGCCACTACTGTAAGGAGCAAATTCTTCTACTGGCCATCACTGTAAAGGGGAAATTCTTCCCACTGACCACAGCTGCAAGGGGGCATTTTGACTACCACTGTAAGAGAAATGACATTCCTACTGACTACCACTGTAAAGGAGGCATTGTTTTCAGGCCACCACTTTAAGGGGGCATTCTTCTCACTGACCCCCGATGAATTGATTGTATCAGGGGTTTCCTGAGACCTGGTCATTGTTTCAAGGAGTCGTAGGGCATTATAATGGTTCACAAAGGCTCAGATGATTCGGTTTAGGTCAATCAATGGATTTTATTTATTTTTATATTAAGTATAAAGCCATAATTATGCTGCCACACAGAGGCACAAATCTGCAGTATTTTTGTGTGCAGGAATGTTTAGGCCAAATTCCCTTTTCTAGTCATTTTGAATTTTTGATGATCTGGTTACTCATTATATAATTCAGTGTTACACTGTTTCAGTGGTGCTTAATATTTTTTTTAGATGAAGCATCAATTCCTATTACTCTTGTTCAGAGTTCTCAGAAGTAGGTTCTTCACTATGGATGGACCCAGAAATTAATTTATAGGGCTTTAGGATATACAAACGCCACAAGGATAAAGCACCTCACAGGCTACAAAAAGGTAGTATTTATTCAATTGGATGTGAAAATATGTGACAAACATCTCCATGTATGCCCACAACCCTGTCCACCCCACCAAGGCCCCTCCACACAGTACAGAAACGGGTGAAATATATAGGCGCTGGGGATTGCATTCTCTCTCCAGGATCCAGCCCCATGGGGACGCCAGAGCGCATTCTGGCCTCCATGATCCATTTGAAGTGAATGTGTCCTTCCAGCAGCAAGATACAGACACCGCATCCAAACAGATTACGAACACTGTAACTGCTGGCCACACTAAGGAAGAGGAGCTTCATTGCACCGTTGAGCAAGTGGTGAGATAGCTTCAATTGTTATTGTATTGCCATTGTGCAGCTCCCAGTGATATCCACACTTATTGAGTAGTTTGCGCGCGGTGGGTCAGTCAGCTATCATACCAAGGAGGATACATCACATGATAGGCTGGACCCGGTGGTCTATTTCGGGTGTTGATTGTGGAGAGACTGTTGGACTTTACATTCTTGTGATACTGAAGTGGCACAGTGCTCACCTATTCTGCTTATATAGTCATATCTGCCGTTATGCCACATTATTCTGGAGAGCTACACAGGTGAGATCCAGTTGAAGGATTATAGGCGTTGAGTTCAGCAAAATAAACCTAGAATGCACATGCTGCATGAGCTTTCATACATTTTCTGTTTAGCTAATTGTCCATCACCTGTACATGGACTTCCAGTGTCTTCTCCAGTCTTGGATTTTTTAGGGGGCTGTTTTTCAACTCATCCCAGAAGAGGGGAACAAGGGGTAATTAGGGAGGTGTGGGCGGGTATGGCATCTGGGACTCTGGAGTGGGGTGGGGGTGGGGGGTCCGCATTTGAGGTTAGGTAGGGGGGTACTGTGTGGAGGGGTCTTGGTGGAGTGGGTTTTTGGGGGGATATTTTTTATGTCCAATTGAATTATTATTATTACAGGCGCCATCAATATTATTACAGGCAGCCCTTCACATATATTGTACATTCACATCAGTCCCTAACCTTCAGTGAGCGTGCAGTCAAAGGTCTTTTAACTCCCATTCATACATACATATTAGGGCCAATTTTAGACAAGAGCCAATTAACCTACCAGCATGTATATGGAGTGTCCTTTTTAGATACCTGTGAGGTGTTTTATCCTTGTGGTGTTTTTGTATATGATACATTTTTTGAATGCATCGCCCCATTATAAGGGTTAGGCACTGGTGGGATTACCACTCCCAGGATATGGCATTTTTGTGGGGTTTTTTATAGTCCTTTATGAGCCACGAATTTCAGGACAGTTTAGGCCTGCCACGTATTAGTTAGTATAGATCATATTTAACTGTACAGAAGCTTTGCTTGTTATATTTAGTGAGTGAATCGTAGATTGCCTTGACACAAATACTGTACTTAGCAGTAGTATATATACAGTATGTATTAATATCAGTGCATAAATCTGAGTCTCTACTGTTGGTTTAATTAATTTTCCCTGTCAGGATTTCCTGCCTAGTCATAATCCCTTCCTCCATCCCCCATGACTTTATCTGTTGAATAATGTAAAACACACCATATTATGGCAGTGACACGGAATCCAGCAATCCGTTTACAGATATGTTTGCCTGATTGTCAGACTGATACAAAAAAGAAAAAAAAATCTCCATCTGAGCTTTTAGAACAATTAATGCATACTGTCGTAGGAGTGATTTTTGCTTGGACTGCACAGATTACTTCCATTCCTTTTTATTGTATTCTCTGTGCTGACATTAAGTTTTAAATTCTGCATAGCAATACAGGCCTGTCATTTAGATGAATAATACAGGAGACCTAATCTATGTCGGCTAAAAAATCCTATTTATTTTACAGCTGTTTATTACAGTGATGACACAATCATAGCTACAGCAGTTTTTATTACAGGCATTTACATAGTGTTGAATTTTTACAACACTTTACATACTGTATATACATACTAGGGCCAATTAACATACCAGGCATGTGGGAGGAAACCAGAGTACCCAGAGGATAATGACATGATCATAGGTGCAGCTGGATGACATAATTGCATTTAGAGCCTCCATAAATTTTCGAAGTGGCTACTGTGTCCATGGTACTGGTTGTACCATGAAAATACTTCCATCTCATCTTAAAGTGGAACTTCACTTTTAATCAACATTAACTATTTTGAATCCTTATGCTGCTAGCATTAGTATACAGATAGGAAAGTATATTACATTTGTTTTAACCTGTTTTTGTTTTGTTTTTTGCATTTCTTTAGTTACTTCCTAGTTTCCAGGCCTAGGCAAATTGTCCTACACCCCAGGAGTCTTCAGGAGGGAAGGAGGGGTTTTCTCAGCTCGTGCATGCAGGCAGGGAGGTGTGCTTAGTTAAGGGTAGATTGATTACAGGAAGTAAATCCTACACAAATGATATGCCCTTACTCAAGATGGCCACGGCCAGAAAACGGGGGTGTTTTTCAAAGTGATTTCTCATAAAAATAAAGCATGGAGACATGGATGGGTGAGATTGCTTTGAATAATACAAATAAATTAATTAGTGCTTTTGGTTTGTAGTACTCAGTGTAGTTCTGCTTTAAGCTGGCCATACAGTGTTTTTAGTTTTTCCAATTCTTCCAGATGGCTAAAATAAAAAGTTAATAATAGATTAAGTCATCCACTTAAACCAGGTGAATGCAGGAATGCCCCTTCTGGGACATTGTATTTTGACAGCAGTGCCCATCTCTATCAGACTATGCTGATCGAGAACAATTTTCTAAAATGTCC